GGGGGCTAAGGAAATGCTTATCTCCCCGAGCGCAGCCTTCATCAAACCATTCCATCACAGTCACCTAACAACCGAGGCATTCACTTAATGATGGCAACTGGGACTGCTGGGATTTGCGTCACTAAGAGAAGTGGTCATGTGATAATTCGCTTAATGACTGCATACCTTAGCAACCTAAATTCTGGTCCCAACTATGGTCATTAGGTGAGGACTACCTGTACTAGAATTAGGTAAAACTGTATATTACCAATTGGTAAGCAGTAAGTTTAATGTAAAATTGTGGAAATTCATCATACAGTAACTGCATTTTCAAATACTTAATAATCAACTTACACAATTCATTGTCACAAAATGCAATCAAGGTCTCTTGTTAGGAAGATTAAAAAAAGGAATTAGATAAGGTCATTAAGAATAAGCAGCTTTATTACCTGTTATATCTATATCTATATAGACATATGTTACATGGACCCATATGAGCTATCAGTATTTAAGTAGTATTAAATAAGTGAATGAACAACTTCATGGAATAAACCACTATTGTGTTTGGCCTACACATTAAACTGTAAACGGTATTTTACAAATCACAAAGGCTGGTTTCCCATAACGTCCTATGCTAAAATCAAACAAATCTCAAGTGTGCATCCAGTATAATGGTTATACAGAATCTTAAAAAGAGGCCTCATGTTGGCAAGCAATAATGCAATGATGGGGCAGGGATTGCCCAAATGCCCTGCATTTCTTATGTATGTGATAGACAATTTTTCCATGAGGAAACTTGGTCTGACCTACTAAAGCCCTTCTTCTCTTTGGTTTTGAATATTCTGTCAACAACTGATACAGTTTTATCATGATTACAATCCAACCATTTTTATTTTTTAATCACCCTTATGTATCTATGATAAGTTTAAATACAATCTAGTCCATAATTGTATTGTAAAAAGGGAGTTTCACTATATAACTTTTAAGAAACAATAATAGCTATAATGGATTTCTCTAATTAAACTGAAGGAAATCAAATTATCTAGCAATTGCATGGCTATTAAGTAAGCTTTAAAAAAAAAAAATCTGAGACTTCTTTTTGAAAAGAACAGTCATTCCTATTCCCCAAAGTAGCTAACCAGTTAATAAACTAGTAAAAACAACCATTCACTTTTCTTTATGCTAATACTGGTTAGATTTACATGGACTATTTGGTATATCATTTATTTTATTTTTATTTTATTTTATTTAAGCTATTTACATAGCTACCTGTGATGCTACAGTATGCATCACCAGGCAAAGAACTGAAAATGCAGTAAAATATATAAAGCAATAAAAAACTAAATAGTGATGATGAGTAGTAGGAATGTGACATGAGATGACTAATGGCACAACAACAGGATGGATAAACATATTTCCAGCATGCCTCTGTCTCCCATAGGAGAGTCTGCTTCTTTCTGGTATCCTTTAACTGAGAACAGAAGAAGCTCCACTGTGGATTGCCTAGTGCGCCTAGTGAAAAGTTTGTGGCACAGTAAGGGCCCTTTAGGCACTCTAACAGAACCCTTCCAGATAAGGTACTGTGACACTACTCTTCTTCTTTTATCAATATGTCTCTAGTACCCCCAATCCACAATACTTTGACTGAGTCCTGCAGAAATCACCATGGTACGTCATACTGCATTTCTGTTTTCTGACTCTGCATCTAAGAAGCTGCTTGCTCAGACCTCTTCTGCAGCATGCCCCAAATCCCAGCAATCTTTAGCGCTCCCAATTTCTTCTGCCCAGCTGGCCTTGCGCTGCCTAATCAATGCCTGGGCATGGTCTCACTCTCTCTCCAGTTCCCATGTTCTCACCGCCCATCCAAGCAGCAGTGAAGACCTCACTAAATGTTGCTCCCCTCATGCAGTACGATGTGGTGTCATATTGGTGGATTCCCTGTCTATCTTTCCCCTCCCCAATAGCATCATCTACCAAGGGGAAATCAAATGCCATTTGCTTTCCTGAATATGTGGTGAGGCAGGTTTTGGGGTTCAAGGCTTATTATTTTTTAATATTTATTTAGCTTTAATGTA